CATCCAAATAAACCAAGCCACAATGAAGGGAATTGGCTTGAGGTTTATCCCTTTCCAATCTTTAATGCAGTCAATAATGTTGTCCCAGCAAATGTTAATTAGATTTATGTTCATTTGAGGAGTTAGTTTACTGCAAACCTCCTAGGCAAAGTTACACCTGAAGAAAAGGTGATCCCTTGTGTGATCCCTTGTGTTGATCCCTTGTGTCCTGATCTAGCTTACATAAATAGCATCTTGAAGGGCCTTTCAGGCCTTTTAGTTTTAGGATATCATCTGTTGGCAGAAGGTTGTGGATAACTCTCCAAGAGAAAAACAACATAGAGGGGGTGAGATGTTTTTGGCATGTGGAGATGTTCCACTGGCAAGAAACCCGGCTATACAGGTAATTCTGAATGTCTTTAAAGATACTAGCATTAGTCCTTTTCAGCAGGGATGATTTCATCCGTTTTATTTCTGTCAAACTGTATTCTAGTGATGTAGTTTGCAGACTGCTCCTTCAGTAATCCCCTCAAAGAGTCCTCGGACCAACCATTACTAACCCAACAGTCTTTAACCAATAAATCCCCCTCCTTTTCATCCTGCAAATGTTCCAAAAAGTCATTTGAACACCAGTTGTCTTTCCAAAAATTAACATTCCCTTGTCCCAACTCCCATCTGAGCAGCTGATCAATGTCATCTCTAGCCTTGAGCATCTGGACACAAATTATGGAGTCTCCCACCTTCCTAGTGACCTCCCTAGGATGGACAGACTTGCAATATTTGGCCATCATAAAGTTGGACCATAAGCTTTCATTTTGTCTAAATTTAATCCACAGCTTACACAGACTAATGTGTTGCATCTGATGCAAGCCTTTAAAACCCAAACCACCAGCCTCCCATGGTTTAGCCACTTTTTGCCAACTAGCCCAAGCCATAGGACTAAAGCCGTTGAAGGTTCTTTCCAGCAGCAAAGATGTGCTTCTTTTCATTGTAGCCACTTGGAGAGCATACAAGGGGATAGAGGTAAGGATGCTCTTCAGTAGGGTGATCCTACCCCCATTGGACAAAAAAGAGTTAGACCACCCCTGATAAGTAGAGGTTATCTTATCAATAACCTCATCAAATTGGATCAGCTTTTTTCATCATCTGGTGAGATGAATCCCCAAATATTTGAAAGGGAGGCTCAGACTAGAGAACCCAGTGTAAGAATGCATCCATTGCTTGATTGGTAGAGATGCTTTTTTGCTAATCTGAATCTCACATTTTTCCTTGTTGACCTTTAGCCCAGACACCTGTTGGAACTGTTGCAGACATCCCATAATGTACTCTGTAGCAGGCCTAGAGGCCCTAGTGAACAGTAGAATGTCATCAGCATAAATCAAATGGCTGATCTCCATCCTAGCTCTATTATGATAAGAGTTAAAGGTTTTCCTCTTTCCTCTGCAGTCCATCAGTCTAGAAAAGTAGTCCAA